TAATACTTTATTTATTTATTTATTTATTTATTTATTTATTTATTTATTTATTTATTTATTTATTTATTGTGTTTGAATGAAACGACTCCCTTTCTTCCCACATTCTTGCCAAACAAGGTAGTGACCTCTTGGAAAAAATTTTATTGTGCTTTTGTTTATGCAACAGGCTTTATCCCACTTGTCATTGTTTTATTATTTTTAGTTTCCACTTAGTAAATCTGTTTTTATTACCTTTTATTCTATTTTTACTCTAAAATTACAGTTTTGTTTTCCTAACAAATGATATTTTTAATCTATTGGAAGATTATGTGGGTTTAGCTTCAGTGTTAACGGGCTGGAAATATGATTTAGCCACGCCCTCCTCCAGTCCCCGCAGGTATCGCTCTCTGATTGGTTGCTTGTTTCGCTGAAACTTGAAGTGACCCACACCAGCAGGTTTGACAACAGCTGACCCTGTTAGTTTTCTGCTTCTGTCCAACTCTCTGCTGTCACTACCGGCTTCTGAAATGGACAATGGTACCAGACCCACTAAGGTCACCTATAAACGCTGGAAGGATCTAGAACCGGGGTAAAAACAAATGAAACTACTAAAAATTGTTTTAAAGTAGAGTATCATGAAAGGTGATATCCCTCTGAGTGAAAGAATCTGAATCTGTGTGAGACAGCTAATGCTAACCTGTGACCTAAATTAGACCTATTATATTTATGTGACGGGTTCTAATCAATTCTGCTTCCTGTCTGCTGACATGTAGGGATGAAGGAGGTTTTGTAGGTCAGACTGATGAGGACCAGGTCTCAGAAACTGAGATTTACACTGTAGCCTCAGCAGCAGGTCAGTCAGAGGGCAACCAGTCTGCAAACAGTCACGGAACTGTTACAAATCAAGGTTTGTACACTTGTATTTCTGATTTAGTCAGCATCATTGTATTTGTAAATAATGATCCAGCAGTTACCTAGTTTACCCCGTTTTCAGAAACCTTCACTGTAGACGATGCGCTGGAGGCCATCGGTTTTGGGATCTTTCAGTGGAAAATTTCTCTTGTCACTGGACTGGCATGGGTAAAAACCTCAAAACAAAACCCAGAAACTGCATTTCTTGGACGTCCTCCTAAAGTTACACGTGTCGTTCATGGCTGTGGTTCAGGTCGGGGATGCCATGGAGATGATGATCCTCAGCATCCTGGGACCCCAGCTGCACTGCGAGTGGAGGCTACCAGACTACCAAATGGCCCTCATAACATCCGTAAAAACCATTAGGCTGATTTTGTATGAACTTATTAGTTTACTGTGTTTACATGTTTCTTTCCCTTTTTTTATCAGATTGTGTTTATCGGGATGGGTTTTGGTTCGCCTATGTGGGGAAATGTGTCCGACAAGTATGGCAGAAAAACAGTATGCCATTTTTTTTAAGATTTTTTTTTTCAAAAATGTATTGGTTTCACCTGGTGTGTTTATGTATATGCATGTGTTTTAAGGGTTTGACACTTTGTATGTGCTGGACTGTGTACTACGGCCTGCTGAGTGCCTTCAGTCCAGTCTACGGGTGGCTTTTAGCTCTTCGGGGCTTTGTAGGTTTTGGCATCGGAGGAGCCCCTCAGTCGTAAGTGTACTCGTTTTATTTCTATACAGTGAGATAAATCTGCAATTCTTCAACGACTAGAAGAAGGTGTTTGTTATACCTTATAAATGTTCACCGTATTTTTAGAATGACGCTGTACTCTGAGTTCCTCCCGATGAAAGCGAGGGGCCTCTGCATTATGCTGATTTCGGTAATTTGATGTTGATAATGAAAGCTGTATTTTAGTTAAAGTGCTACACAGAAATCCATCCTGATTTTATGTTTGTTTGTTTTTRGTTTTTGTTTTTTCCCAGGCTTTCTGGGCAATCGGTGCCGTGTTCGAGGTCCTCCTGGCCCTGTGGATTATGCCCACTCTGGGCTGGAGGTGGCTGCTTGGCCTGTCTGCCATACCAGTCGGAATATTTGTTTGTTTCTGCTTTGTGAGTCTGTTTAGGGCACTTTAAAAAAAGATGCCTGCAGTGAAAACAGCAGCTCTCAGCTCCGTGTTTGTGTTTGACACAGTGGCTGCCTGAAAGTCCACGTTTCGACGTGCTGTCYGGACGGAGGGAAAAGGCCATGGCAACATTAACACGCATCGCTGCAGAGAACGGCAAGACGATGCCTCGGGGAACTCTGACTGAATATAAACAGGTGGCGTTAAATTAGCTCTGAATGGGACAAATTTTTTCATCATTTTTATTTACACGCATCTTCTTGGTGTTCATATGTCACAGCATGTCCGTGGACGGGTCAAAGATCTCTTCACTCCTCAGTACCGGACAACTACACTTCTTCTGTGGTTTATATGGTTAGTTTAGCACACCTTTCCTCACCCAGGTTCTTTATTATAGTATTAAATCAAACAGAATTGTTTATTTAAGATGTATCTGTTGAGCAAAGCAATTATCTTTGGGAGTGTCATCTTATCTTTTTATTTGGATGAAGTGACAGAACATATAATTCACACATCCTGGTTTGTTATTCTTTATATGGGAAACGAAAGACATCTAAATAAAGTTTATTCCTGATTTTATCTAAAGGTTTACGAATGCCTTCTCCTACTATGGGATTGTCCTGTTGACAACGGAGCTATTCCAAGCAGGAGATTCATGTGGTGGTGTGTAACCTTTTTCCTTTCAGAAACTTTGTCCGAAATTTGAGGAAAACCTCAAAAAAAGTTTCTTTCTTACAGTTTCCCAAGGGGCCAAGATTGAGCCAAGGTGCAACCTTGAATGTAAATATTTAACATCAGATGACTACAAAGATCTGTTGTGGACAACTTTGGCTGAGTTCCCAGGTAAAATGTGCCTGATTTTTTCCCCTTGTAGGTGTGTGTGTAGGTGTAGGTGTGTTTACATGTTGTTCAGTACTATAGGGGACATTTCACTGCGTTCACGCCTAAAGCAGGCATGTCCAACTCCAGTCCTCAAGGGCCGGTCTCCTGCAAGTTTTAGATTTGTCCCTGCTTCAACACAGCTGATTCAAATATAGGATTTACCTTCTCAGTTTGCCATCAAGGTCTGCAGAGGCCCACTAATTAAGCACCCCTTAGGTTCAGCTGTGTTGAACCAGGGCAGCACTAAAGCATGTAAGACACTGGCGCTTGAGGACCGACTTTGGACACCACTGGCCTAAATTGTTCTGCTTAAATCAGGGATGTCCTGAGAATCATGGCACTTAAAGGGTCAGTTGTAATAAACTTTGCCACTTTGAGTTTAACTTTGACTGAACACAAAACATCACATTCATTGTCTCATTGCTACAGCATCAGTAACAAATAATGAGCTCTACGTGGCATTTCTTGCATAGAAACAGTGTTTTAGCGCCTCCTCTTCTAAACACTGAAAAGTACTGCCTGTACCACTGACTAAATAAGACATAAATAATACAGAATATTAAAAGTAAAAGTAAGAGACGTTTTTAGGATGATTTTATTCACTATGAAGGTGTAATAAGTAGCCAAAATCTCAAATTCCTAACCCTCCTAATTTCCGACATGAAATTCCCACTGAAGTTCCACTTCAAATTCATGACACGTAAGTGGGAATCTCCCACTTTCCAATACAACTGTGCCTCAACAATGGTAGCCAGCAGAAATGAAGTGAAACTGAGATTTTACATGGCAAATTTCGCCAGCTACTTTTGAATCCTGCACTTAATTTTGTAAGTAAAATAATCAGCATGCAATATGGGAGAAGTAATTTATGGTAAATGCTGGCTAGGCTTTTTTAAGACATTATTACATCTTTGAAGCTCTCACATGCCATATAAAATGCTGTGGTGGGCTACATTTTCAAGTGTTTTTGCACTCTCAGGCCAGCAGTATAAATAAGAAACTGTTCTTAATGTTTTGCCTGTTGAAATAAAGGTTAAGTAAAATAAAAATAAAATAAACATTTTGCCTGCGGGCCCTGAGTTTGACACATGCAGCTTAAAGCAAATCTGTAACCCATAAAAGCTTTTAAATCTTGTTGCCTTTTTTTTCAGGTCTTTTAATCATCCTTTTCGCRGTTGATTACCTCGGCAGGAAGAAAAGCATGGCAATTTGTTTCTTCATGTTTTCYTTGTTTGTTCTACCTTTGTTTGCCTGTGTAGGGAGGTGAGTTTACTGTTTATTTTACTGACACAACAGCTGTACGTCCAGACCTTCTGTAGCTTTAACCCTGTGTTTGTGTTTGGCTCATGCAGGGTCGCCCTCACAATCTTCATCTTCATTTCCAGAGCCTTCATCTCTGGAGGATATCAAGTTGTTTTTGTTTACACACCAGAGGTGTGAATGATTTTCACATTAACCATATTTGTAGATGAGTTGAAGTTGTTACAATGCTTGTGTGCGTGCGTGCGTGCGTGCGTGCGTGCGTGCGTGCGTGTATTGCAGGTGTTCCCTACAGAAATCCGAGCTTTAGCAATGGGAACTTCGAGTGCAGTAGCGAAGATTGGAGCCCTGATTACACCTTTTGTGGCTCAGGTATGCAGAAGTATTGGATTTACTTGTTTTTCAGGACATTGTGGAGAAAACTCTCCAAATTGTTTCCAGAGGATAAATCAAAAGTGTTTGGATGAAGGATTATTAAATTTGTAAATTAAGTTTTAAATATTGACACTCTTAAATTTGGAAGACCGTAATGTTGTTATTATCATTATTATTTTTAAATCAAATTATTTCTTTTCTCACGCAGATTTACTGAAACCCAACACCTGGCAAAGCTGTTGAATACTTATTTATTGATTTTATACTCCAAACCTAATCGAATTTAGCCCCTAAAATAAATGTGCATTTTTATTTTTTCTATGTTGTCACAATATTTGAATATCTAAATATTAACAAGACAATATATTGGTTTAAAACCATCAGCATGAAGTTAATATTTATAGGCTTTGAATTTAATCCCATAAGGAAAAGAACCCCAACTAATTTCTTTTAACAAGGCTATTATGTTGAAACTCTACAGGGATTCCATTAATTAATTCACTCATTCATTCATTTATATTTTCATGCTGTTTTCAACATTATTATGAAACCCATTACAGATACCAGGACTGAAAGTCAATGTAAGCAAATTATCTTGAAAATAATAGTGGAAAAAAGTATTTGGAATGTCAGAAATGACACAAAAACTGTCAATATTTGTAATGAATTGTAAGAAACATGATTTACGTACATAAACTTTAATTATTGCTAAAAGAAAGGGTAATATAAGGCAGTTGTTACATGTGGGTGAAWAGTGATATTCAGTCATGAATCATCAACCTTGCTCTGTGAAAACGGATAAAACCAGAACCTTTATTTGGTCCYTGTTCAACAAAACATAAAAGCCGCCTAAAGAAAAGAGAATATTTCCAGTTTTGGTTCCTCACATTTTGTGTTTGTGGTTCTAGGTGATGCTCAGGACATCAGTGTATTTGACTCTGTCGGTGTACTGTGGCTGCAGTCTGCTGGCTGCTATTGCATCTTTGATTCTGCCCATTGAGACGGTGGGCAGGAGTCTGCAGGAGTCCAGCCTGGAGCATGAGGTTGGAGGGCAGACGATCTCTTCAACCAGGCAGTCAGTTGACACAGCAGAGTCTGCGGGCCAGTGATGGGTCTATAACAAGCAGCGAAAAGGAAGTCATATTTTGTCCAAGCCTCCTCAGGATTCAGTTCTGTAACGATGGTCCGAATCATCTGGATGATGATGATGATGATGATGATGATGATGATGATGATGATGATGATGATGATGATGATGATGGGTGAAGAGGACCAGAGGAACAAAATCATTCCAGGCAGGGAAGAAAAACTAAAACCCGATGCTCCACGTTTAATCACAAATGAAGGATCTTTCTTCTTGAATCGTTTTTTTTTTTTACCCTCCATTATGTTTTGGTCATAAAATTGTGACCTTTTGAGAAATGGTTTTGCACATTTTGCACAGAAGACATTTTAAAACCTGGACCTCAAAAYATGAAACATTTTCATGTTGATTAAAAAATAATTTCATGTGCTTTTTTCAGAAATGAAGCTGTGTATTTTTCTAAGCAAATAATCTCAGTYTTTTATTGTTTTATAGGTTTTATTCATGGGCTTATGAAACTCAGCCCTCTAAAAGAGATTTTGTTTTTCATGTTTTGAGGCTTTTGTCGTTGTTTTGACTGGATGAGATCATTTGTATCAGACAAACAATAAACCTCACAGATAATAGGGGTGCACCAAAAAAATCATTCCACATCACAATCGTGTTTCTTATTTACAAAGATTTAGAATCGATTTAAAATGTCCCAAAATAGATTTTTAGAAATTAAAAAAAAGAAAATCCAAAGGTTGTCAACCACCCGTTTGTGGGACATCCTGACGTCACATGCAGCTATTTATGGAATGTATGCATGTTCGGAAAACACCAAAACAAAGAGGAAACTACAAAACTAGAGGAAAGAGAGATTCAACTGACCCCGTCTTTACTGAATGCAAAGATTTGGGCTCATTTTGTTTTTTTACTGAATGAGTCTGAGTTTGACATGAGCTTCACTGTGTGCAAAATTTGCAAAATGAAGATGGAACACGACAAATTGAGTTTTGAGTGAAAAATCGATTTTGAATCGAATCGTGAGAGAGTAAAAGATTCCCACCCCTAATAGATAAGTTTAGATGCAGTGTTAATGCTGAATATTTTATAAATTACCAAATTTCCCTCTGGGATCAATAAAGTGTTTTTGAATTTGAATTGAATTGAGTTGAAATTATTGATTAAAACAATAGGTTATTATCAAATTACAAGTCAATTAGGAAAATATTTTGATTGTCCTTTATAATTTGTGTAAGGTTTATGAAAAATTTACATATTTAGTACATTGAATTTGCTCTGAGTTGGTTATTTTCACACATTATTTGCATCTAATTGACTCCAAACTCAATTTTATTTTAAATCGTTTATATAAGAAATAATGTTGTTATTTTAACTAATAGCAAAGTCAATATTAGAAACTTGAACTGAGAATCAAATTTTAAATTTTCATTTCTAGTATTAGGACAAAGTTTATTATGTCTTTCTTTTTGAGAGCTAATCACGTCTTTGGAAAGTGATATGAACTCAGAGCTGTCAGAACGCGCTGAAGTGTGTTTTTGATGTAAAACTCTACATTTCTATCTCTGGTGGCTGCAGTTTCTTAAATGTGGGAATGTCCTATAAGTCTATGACTTTCCTCCACTGGTCTCTCGGCTCTGTTATAATAATATTAATATAAAGAAGTATATTGGGCTGTAAGACCTAAGAGCTGCTTTTTTATTATTATTTGCCAATACTTTATAAACTATTGTTTAAATATTTTTTTAAATGTCATATTTTCTGGTTTATAGACTTAATAGAGAAAATAACAGCTGCTGTTGATCATACTGTGCTAGTATTTATGTTGACTTGAAGAAAGCTTTTGACACATTTGACCATTCTGCTTGAAAAATTGAACAAATACGGTATTAGAGGACCAGCATTACAGTGGGTGTCTAGTTATTTAAAGGATAGGAAAGAGTTTGTACAAATAAATGATACAAGATCTGAAGTAGTATTACTTGTGTGGTTCCTCAGTACTTGGACCGCAGTTGTTTATTTTATATGTAAATGATTTGGTAAATGTGTCAGAGTTGTTCAAATGGGTTTTATTTGCAGACGACACGACATTTTTTGGGTAAAAATATAGAACAGATGTTGGAAATGATGCAGATAGAATTTGCTAAAACACAAACCTGGTTTAAACTACATAAATTATCATTAAATTTAGATAAGACAAATTATATGATATTCAGTAATAGAAAGAAAACAACTGATATTCCATTTAGAGTTGATGGTGTTGATATCTGTAGAGTCAGTGAAGTTTCTGGGTGTCATAGATGAAAAGCTGACATGGAGACCTCATATAAATCATTTAAAAACAAAAATAGCCAAATCCATTGCAGTATTGTACAAAGTAAAGGATTTATTTAATGATAAAGCTCTGTTTATATTATATAATGTAATAATTGTTCCACACTTAATCTACTATATGTTTGGGGAAAAGCATGTAAAACAATAACAAACCCAATTTTTTATTTTACAAAAAAGAGAAGTAAGGATTATCATCAGAAAGCATTATTATCACTCATCAAATACATTGTTCCTTCAGTTGAAGTTATTGAAATTCAATGATTTGGTTAATTATGGTATTTTATCAATTATGTACAGGGCTCATAAAAACACATTACCTTCAAACATTCAATTACACTTTGTTAAAAGAGAGAGTTGTTATAATCTCAAAGGGATAAAGATATTTGTTAAACCCAAATTTAGAACCAGTTTAAAAGAATGGAGTACTTCAGTCCAGTGTAACAGATTATGGAATAAATCTGGAAGATGACATTTAAAATGCCAGATCAATGAGTATATTTAAGAAAATGATAAAAAAAAAATAATTTGCTGGAGAAATATGTAAATGTATGAATTGTTGTTCAAGGAGTCAAACCTTTGTTATTTTTCTTTTTTTACATATAAACTAAAGATTATTTTTGATTGAATTTATTTATTTGAGAAAAAGGGGAAGATATAATAAGATTTTTTTCTTCTTCTGCTACCTTTAATTTAATTTATGATTTGTATTTTTGCTGTATGTTGATTTTATGTTGTTGTTTTTAAAGAAATTGATAAACTATTTAAAAAGAAAAAGAAATCAAAACTGTTAATCTTCTATAAATGTGTAGATGGACTCTAACTCCGACCGGTCCATTGTTAACTGTGAAATTAAACTTGTGTGTCATAACAAGGCATACACCAGCCCATTATAAAACTAGCTGAACATAACACTAGCAGCATCGTACGGGACTTCCTAGTCTGGTCTGTCACCTTGACAACATCGGACCAATCACAGCGTGCACGCGAACTAGGCCAGCCAATCAGAGGCGTCCGGTAAATCTGCATGTCATTTCTGCGGCGGATCGCTACTTGCAGCGTGTTTTGTTTGTCTGCGCGTCAGGGCGAGCGAAACGGACTGACCTGGACACGAACTGAATTTCTTCTCGGTATACTTTCCGCTCATGAGGACTCCGGTGACCGCAGAGGACTCTCGGAGCCGGACCGAACGGGAGCACCGCCGGTGCTGCTGCTGCTAGATGAGAGTCTGACTCGGCATTTTCTACCCGGTGACAGAGAGACAAACACAGCGGCGCATCCCTCCCTTCTCCTGCAGCCCACCCGGCCATGGCCCTGGTGACTCTGCAGCGGTCTCCCACCCCCAGTGCAGCAACCTCGGCCAACAGCAGCGCGGGGGAGGTGAGTGAGAGAGGGATGTGGGGGGGAAGCCGGGACTGGGGTTTCTTTTTTGTTGAGAAAACACCAAGAAGAATGCGCCTGCAGGAAAATAATAGGAGCTGGTTGATGTTTAATATCCTGCAGAAAGTCATGTGTATCTGTGTGTGTTTGTGTGTGTGTTGTCAGCTTGACAGGTTATTGTCCTGGTTAGTTTTTTTGCTGCAGCAGGATTTGTAAACAAAATCCTGCAGAGGGGGAGGGGTGCAGTTGGGTTTAGCTGTCAAGACAAAGTGCTCATTTGTGTTGCTGTGTTGCGCTCAGGTGGCTCCTGTTGGTTTTTGGTGTGTTTCATTTCTTGTTTTGACGTTCACACATCAGGGGAGTGTCAAAGAGAACAGCTGCATTCAGAAATGGGTCCACAAGTTCTGAGCTGCTGTGTTTTGACCTTTAGGGGTCTTTAGACAGTTTAAAAAAACAGAACGCAATGATTTGTAAATCTCACAAACCCATATTTTATTCACAAAAGAAAGCGGAATACGTATCAAATGTTTAAACAAGAACATTGTAACAATTTGGGGGAAATATTAAGTAATTTCTGAAATATTTGGCAACAACACATCTCAAAAAAGTTGGAAGGAGGGGGGCAACTAAGGATCATAAAATAAGGGGTACAAAAAAGTAAACGGTTATAGTAAGGAGTTAGGTTAATTGGCAAGAGGTCCGTAAGATGAGTAAAATAAGCCTGAACCTCTCAAGTAAAAATGGGCAGAGGTTCATCTGCCTACTGACAACGGTCTAAATGATTTCCTCAAAAGGAAACTTGGAAAACCTCATAATATCAAAGGTTAGGGTACCCTAACCCTAACCCTAATATCAAAAGGTTTCAAGAATCTGTATAAATCTCTTCAGCTCAACGGACATGGAAGAAATTTAATATCCTGAAAAGCCCATGATCTTCAGACCCTCAGGTGGCACCGCATTAAATACAGGTGCATGAAACATCATGCACCTGTATGCAATACTGATCTGGATCACTGTTTCATTCTGAAACAGTGATCCAGATCAGTATTGAATCATTAATCATCTAATAGATTCAATTACATCAAGGCAAAACGAAAACCTCAAACCTTATGTGATCACATCGATAGCAGACCTGTAAACTGAATCGAATCAAAATCGTATCGTGACAGACTTTGCCATATTGAGAAACACTGTCTCACCATCCAAACACATCAATATAATGTTGTGATAAAGCTGGTGAGGCCATCCAGCCTGTTGTCAACACACAGTTCGAAAAGCCTGCCTCGCTGACGGTATGGAGGTGCGTTGGTGTCTTAGCATAGATACGGTGGCGTAGTTTGGGCAGCCTTGTCAATTTTCCTGATTTATCTTTATAAATCATTGATCGTTTGGATTAAAAAAATCAGTTAAATATATCATGTAGAGGACAAACAGTGATATTTGAGAAGTGAAATGAAGTTTATATGATTTACAGAAAGTGTGCAATAATTGTTTAAAAAATTAGGCAGGTGCATAAGTTTGTGCACCAAAAATAACCTTACCTCAATATTTAGTAGCTCCTCCTTTCACAGAAATAACATTCTCTAAACACTTCCAACAGCTTCTAATGAGAGTCTGGATTGTGGCTGAAGGTATTTTAGACCACTCTTCTTTACAAAACATCTCTAGTTCATTCAGGTTTGATGGTTTCTGAGAATGGACAGCTCTCTTTAAGTGACACCACAGATTTTCAATTATATTCAGGTCTGGGGACTGAGATGGCCATCCCAGAACGTTGTACTTGTTCCTCTGCATGAAGGCCGTAGTAGATTTTGAGCAGTGTTTAGGGTGGTTGTCTTGTTGGAAGATCCAGCCCCGGCTTCAGCAGCTTCAGCTTTGTCACTGATTCCTGGACATTGGTCTCCAGAATCTGCTGATATTGATTGGAATCCAAGCGTCCCTCAACTTTAACAAGATTCCCAGTCCCTGTACTGGCCACACAGCCCCACAGCATGATGGAACCACCCCCACATTTTACTGTAGGTAGCAGGTGTTTTTCTTGGAGTGCTGTGTTCTTTTTCCTCCATGCATAACGGCCCTTGTTCTGCCCAAATAACTCTGTTTTAGTTTCATCAGCTCACAGCACCTTATTCCAAAATGAAGCTGGCTTGTGTAAATGTGCTTTAGCATACCTCAAGCAGCTCTGTTTGTGATGTGGGCGGAGAAAAGGCTTCCTCTGCATCACTCTCCCATACAGCATCTCCTTGTGTAAAGTGTGCTGAATAGTTGAACGATGCACAGTGACTCCATCAGCAGCAAGATGATGTTGTAGGTCTTTGGTGCTGGTCTGTGGGTTGACTCTGACTGTTCTCAACATCCTTCACTTCTGTTTATTGGAGATTTATCTTGGTCTGCCACTTGGAGCCTTGACTTGAACTGTGCCTGTGGTCCTCCATTTTCTCACAATGTTTCTCACAGTGGAGACTGAAAGCTGAAATCTGTGAGATAGCTTTCTGTATCCTTCCCCTAAACCATGACGGTGAACAATCTTTGTTTTCAGCTCATTTGAAAGTTGTTTTCAGACTCCCATGCTGCCACTCTTCAGAGAAGATGCAAAGAGGAGACAAACTTACAATTGCCCCCCTTAAATTCCCTTTCTTATAATTGGATTTACCTGTGTATGGAGGTCAAGGGTCACTGAACTTACCAAACCAAATTTGAGTTCCAATAATTCGTTCTAAAGGTTTTGAAATCAACAAAACAACAACGGTGCCCAAATTTATGCACCCGTCTAATTTTGTTTAACCAATTATTGCACACTTTCTATAAATCATATAAACTTCATTTCACTTCTCAAATATCACTGTTTGTTCCCTATATGATATATTTAACTGATTTTTTTTATCCAAGCAGTCAATGATTTATAAAGGTAAAGCAGGAAAATTAACAAGGCTGCCTAAACTTTTGCACCCCACTGTATTTCTATTCAGCGAAGAAGGACAGTGAGAAACCATAGTTTTCAACATTTTGATATATTTCCTGTGTTTCATTATTAATTTAAAAAAGAGTTTATCAGACTTTATAACTCTCATCAAAGCAGCTCAGTGTGAATGTTTGTGATGTCATGCTGCTGTTGGATCACAGCTCTGACCAGCAGATGGCTTCAGCACTCTTTACCACACAAAAATGGAAAACTAACATTTATCAGGATTTATTTTATAATATATAAGTCTTCTGATTCACTATGAACATGCACAGCTGAGTTTATCTTCAACTGAAGCTGCTGCACCATTTTCATTGTTTTTTGTTATTTTATTGTTTCAGGATTTCGAAAGTGACGATGACAGGAAAAATAATCAAAGGTAAGTCCTACACTCGTCTAAATATGATGTCACTTACAAAGAATTAATGTGGAGCATAGTTTGCTCTCCTGTTTGATGAAAATTAAGTGTTCTCAGGTTGTTTTGCCTAGATGAGTACAAAAATGTAACACGATTATGGCAGCAGACACTGTCAGTGTAGCACATTTTATTCTGCAAGGAAAAAAAACAGAAACTTTTTTTATTTTTTTACATTTTACATGTTTCCGAGCTTCTGCTTTATTTATTTATTTATTTTTTGTCATAGTTTTTAACAATTAAAAGCCCAATTTTGGGACTGTTTTAACTCTCAGCATAAAATTTTCCTAAAACAGTCATACAAGTCAAATTTCCTATTTTACTTTAAGTTTTGTTTTGTTTTCGTTCAGGTTCAGCTTGAACAGACGACTGTTTTCTGTTTGGGCATTGTCTTTTTTAATGCCTCCTGGTTTTTTCTGCACACACTCTTAGCTATTATAGGTAAATAATTCAATATTTATTTAACTAAATCAGAAACTTGTCTTCCTGTTGGAGTGTTGGTCCCTCGCTGGGTGGTGTTGTTGGTTCTGATGTTCTGCCCGAGTCGATCACCTCCTTTTGTGGTTTTACTCATTGTTCTTTTTGTTGTTCTGACGTCCACCTGTGATTCTGGCAAATTAATTTAATTACCTCCAGTAGAAATGCAGATAAAAAGGTAGATGTTTACAGAGTTCAAACAAAAAGTGTTTATTAAAAATGTGCCTTTTCTTTTTTTATTTAGATGTGAAAACACTACTAACTTGGCTAACGTCATGCTGGATAACCGCTGCTAACATGTCTAACGCTGCTAAAGATAGTATTTGAAATCTAAATTCAATATGTGTTCATTGAAAACAATATCGATAGCGGTCCAGCAGTTTGAAGTGCAGCTTGGATAACGGTTGTAATCGCACGTTTTGACGTCTTGTAGGGAAGATTTTGCTGCATCGGAGCGCTAGCGGTTGCTGTTGTCTCAGGATGATGATGTCATGACTTGAGCTGAGGGCCAACTGCAAAGGCTGTGTTCCATTCAAAAATACCTAAATGTGAACTTCAACATTTAAGTTCAACGTTTAGATTTAAACATTCAGATTTAGGATTTACTATTTAAAATATTTTTTAACATTTGAATTTTACATTTAGTAAAAATTAGCAAATTGTAAGAACTGTTAGCTAAATACAATAAAACATTAGTGGAAAATTAATTTCAGTTATTTTGACCGAAACAACAGCGCATTTTTCAGTCTTTTGTTGTTGTTTTTTAAACATTAGGCTAATTATATTTATTTGTAAAACCTTTTGAGCTTTTTATTATATTTTGAATTAAATATTCGAAAAAATGTATTTAGATTCAGAAAGGTTGATCAGAACAACATCAGTCAACCTGAATGAGTTTAAAATACAAAATATAACATGGAAAAGTAAGGAAATTTACTTTAAACAGCTCCAGTAAATTAAAAAATGAAGCCTGGTTCTGTTGGAGCTGATGGGATATGAGGAGGGAAGTTTTGATTTTTGCCATCAAAGTTCCTAATAAAACTGAAACCAAAGACCAGATCTTAGTACAAATAAGAAGGAGGAAATTTTAAACCCTTCAGATGTCTATATATTTTAAGCAGGAAAGGCTGCACTGATTTATTTTTTAACTTTGCTAAAACCTTTTATTGACAGTCAAGCTTTTAAACCTCAGTTTCCCTTTGATTTTGAGTCTAATCTGGCAGAAAATGAACTTGTTTTGTCCTCTGACCTGCAGATTGCTAATAAGTGTGTCAGACTTTTTTTAGTCTCTTATTATCCTGCTGTTGCCATCGAGACAAATCAGCTGACTGAATAGCTGATTCAACTTGACAAGTTTTTTTTTTTATTGTACTCTGTTACATAACAGAAAGTGCACAAACTTTTGTCTCCCTCTCAGACACAGAGCTTTTCTTTATCTAACCTGACGTCACAGAAGTCATGACATGTGTCAGCAAAGCATTGACACAGACTCCATCTTTGTGCTGAATGTGTGTTCACCACTGTTAGGGGGGAAAAAAAAGCCATGTCATGTTTTGCGGTTCATCAGTCCCAATTTAGTATTCTGCATGTCAAACACGAGCCTGCTGCTGTGTAACATTCCCACCGCCTGCGCCCTCTCGCATGAATGATGGCATTGTTGCAGAGTGTTGCACGGAGGGAGCTGGTTGCTGAGTCACGTGCTGAGAAGGAAGGAGGGGAAACGGGGGAGCCGAGTCTCAGCCCTCCCACCCTCCCCGGGCGGCACAGACATGGACGCGTCAGAGCGTGAGGTGGGAAGGAGCGAAACGGAGGGACCAGGCTGCAGCTGTAGAGGATGAACACAGGACTGTTGAACAGGAAGGGGTTTCTGGATGAGGCAGGCTGTAAAAATTAAAAAACCAGCAGGATGCATCTCAAGTCTGGATGTGTGGAGACAGCTGCTCTGACTCGGGTGGAGATCTGTGGCATGTAAGTTCCTGAACCAACAGAAGTTAAAACTCCACTTGTAGGTTGTTTGAGTTATGTTCCTGTCGGGGCTTTGTTTCTCTCAGCTCATCAGGAAGTAGAGATTCTTCTTTAAATGCCAACTCATGTGATGATTCCATGAAACAAAAGGTCTTCTGATGGTCCCATTTGTCTGCTTTTGACTGAGAGAGGATAAAAACTGGGTAAATTAAGATGCTGACGTTTTTCTTTTGGATCTTTTTAAAGTTGGGATTTCTTCATTTGTCACTAGTAGATAACTTCTGGCTGATAAGGGTTTATTAGTAGTTTTAATAGTTTCATCAGGAAGCATTCAGATATACGTACCTTAACAGTAGAAAGTTTTTCAACAAAACTTAGCACAAAAAGTAAGTACATTTTTGTTTGGTAGATTATTTTTTGTTGTATCATTGCTTCTTGGCAATAAATCTTATACCATTCTAAAGCCTGTTATTTTAGGCTGTTAAGTTAATGATTTCATTGAGTACAATATCTTAAAATTAATGTACAAAGCCCATAAAAATATATTACCTAACAATATCCAAAGCAGATTTATCAAAAGCGAAAGTACATATAATTTAAAAGGTGTTGAGACTTTTGAAAAACATAGATTCAGAACTGTGTTAAAGTCAAGTTGTTTCTCAATTAAGGGTGTTAGTTTGTTGAATGGTCTCGATAGTGAGTTAAAACAGTTAAAACCTTTTTTTTTGTATTTAAAAAAAAAACCTTGAAAATTATTATGATGAAGCGTTATAATATTGTCTAAAGTAATGTTTTGTACTATTTTTGTGTGTTGAGTTATTCTCCGTGTGCTGCCGGTGAACTTTTGAGTTGATGGTTGATTTTACTTTGCGAGTAGGGGCAGATATTATAAGTTTATACTTCTTTCTGCTCCTTTTCATTCATGACTTTGTTTTATTTAGTTTTGTTTTCCTTGACATTTTGATTTTGTATGCATCACTGTTTTTTTGGTTTGTTTTTTTGTTTTTATTGGATGTCTTATTTTGTATTCATATAACAATTCATAATTGAAACAAACAAACAAACAAATTTCTTTTTTGCATGGTGCTACATGTGTAAGGAATATGCATTTGTGGGCTGAGCAGTAGATTATGTGGGTTGCTATTACCCACAAATTAAAAACAAATGTTTTCACCTCCTACTAATTACATTTACATTAAAACAGTGTTTATTTCTGTAAGAAAAACATGCCTCCATACCTGGACTTGGTGTTTTTGCCTTCAGCTATTCTTCACTCGCTGTGTAAATGTCCTGTTATTAGGCCTACCTGTACTCCACTCAGACATTTTAACACACAGGGGGGAAAATTCTCCTATTGAAAAAACTTTGTCATGTAAGCTATCACAGAATGTGAGCTTTGTATTTAAATAATCCTGCTTTTTATGATTTCAGTCCTGACATCTGATGATGTGAATCTTTAAAACTAGTGTTTTATTACCACTAGTTTTAAAGCGTGCATAATGCATAATGAAGAAAAGGTCATTTAAAAAAATATCTTTCTATGTTTGAAACATTGAGACTCAGTTGTTCTTTTTCTGTCTTCCAGCTTCAGCGAAAGCTTCTTCATGGTCAAAGGAGCCGCCCTCTTCCTCCAGCAGGGTGGCAGCGCCCAGGGACCGAAGACCCCCACACACCACAAACATGCAGGTACCAGCACACACACATTGATTTTTCTATTCTCGTGGGAACTTTGTATTGACTTCCTGACCCTTTAACCTAAACTTAGCCTAAACTTAATTCACACCTTGGTCCTAAACCAAATTCCCACCCCCCTCAAAGAAAAATGACATCTGTACCCATGGGGACTAGGCTTTGGTCCACATGAGGAGCATTGGGTCCCCCCAAGGCTGCAGAATCATCCCTATGATGGAGGAAACACACACACACACACACACACACACACACACACACACACACACGGTTTGTTTCACCACACAGACTAAAGTTGTGTTTACTGCAGTTTTTTACTGATCATTAATTTTGAGGTTTATCTTCAAAAACTGATTGCTCGTGATGATTTTCATTACTGTGTGTTGGGGGCGGGGGGGGACTTTGCCAATTTTGTTTTTTCTACCTGCTTAAAATTGCTGAGGCTATACATCAAGCTGTGAAACAGAAATGTGAAATGTTTGTGTTCAGTTATCCCTCTGCCTTTTTATTTTCTTTTAACATGATTTCTTTGTTAAATCTTTAGAACAAAACCAGATAAAGTTAGAGGTGTAAGTTACTCAGGCTTCGGTTCAGAACAAACATTCTGTTTATGAGCTAAACTCTCAGGTCACGTTGGTTGTTTAAATACCTCAAACTGACCGGATTAAGCTACAAGATCTTTTTTTATTATTATTATTATTATTATTATTATTATTTGGGTTTTGGACAGAATAGCCATCCGATCTCATCACTGTCATATTCTTAAGAAGCTTAACATGATGAATTTTGAAAACTTTGTCAAATTTTCCAATTTAAAACTTGTTTATGCCTAAATGTTCTGCCTCCTCAGGTGCTCGGTGAGATTTTGGTTCCTCTTCGAGCTATAGGCTCAGTTTGAAGCAGAAAGGCTCAGTAACTCATGGAGCAGATGGTGGGAACTGTAAAGTTCCTTTTTTAAAAACGTCCGTGAGTCGAACAGCTTTTCCTGCTGGTGGGATTAACATGTGCAATTCCCAGATTTAAAACGGATTTCTGACTGGAACCATTTTAGATAAAGACTGAAGCGTTTCCTGACAGAGAACCAGTTTTGTAATCATGAATAACTGCCACTTTCTTAATGATGCTCTTATGGTCAGTTTAAGTTTGTTTTATTATTGATGACTGAGTCTTCATTTTGTAATTGTTTTACTTTTTTAACTGTATTTTAAACTGTTATAGTTTCATGTTGCTAAATGTCCATCATTGCTGTTTATTTACAGTTTATTTACCTTATTATCAGTTTATTTACCTTTACACAATCATCTAATGCATGTCAATGTTTCATTTGCAGGTGATTTACCTCAACACCTGCAGGTTATGTTTAAAGTCCTTCGTTCTGAAGATCGCATCAAGCTGGTCAGTTGATTTTATTGTTCTTCATGTATAAATGTATTTATTTCATTAGAGCTAAACCTGTGAATAACTGCACCATGTTTCCTTCTGCCCTTTTCCTACAGTTAGAGTAGATATTTACTGGTTGTTTGAGAACCATCATCGGTCGTCTTATGATGAAGATGAGATAAATATTATCAGTGTTACAATATAGGAAGAAAGTTTTAGGCCTTTTAAACACAAACTGATGTTTAAAAAACCCTCAAAGCTTTTATTTTAAATCCAAACTGTGGCTCTATTTTTGTTTAGGGATTAAAACTTTCCTTAAATGAGCAGTAATTTGGCACCACTAATCCTCCATTCCTTAAACTTTTTAAACAATGTGCACATTCAGAAAATTAGTCTTGACAGGAAACTGTTTATTTATTATTTTTTTATCTCTTAGTACTATGAAAGGTGGATGCTAATTTATCTGTGTGTGTGCAAATGATGGCATCATTTCAAGATGTGTCTTTTCTGTGTGAGTAATATGAATTCACTTTACAACTTAATGAACTGCTTTGTGCAGAACCTGCTGTCCTTTTTGTTCACTAAAAGGTGAAAGTTTAATTTTTGGGATGTGGACAATATGCAGAATTGGATGAAATGGACATAATTTGAGTTTGATGTTGGACTTTCAAAATAAAAAATAAAGATGGCACCGTAATAGATACAAATTAGACATCTGTTTGGTTTTGTTAGGTTATGTGATGTTGTAACATGCACATAAAACGAAAAACATGTAATCTTGTAATTTTGTTTCCCAGGCTGTGCGGTTAGAAAGCATCCGGTCGGACCGAGTGCGTTACATGGTTGTCATCTACACAAATGGTCACCAAGGCACAGAGGAAAATATTGTTCTGGGAATGGATTTTGCAGACAAGAACAGGTATAATTGAAACTCCTGTGTATTTTCAAGTTAACTTTTTTTGAAATGCTTAAAGCATTTTCTTCTTCTCTCAGTAAGAACTGCTCCATTGGGATGGTCCTGCCTCTGTGGAGCGACACCAACATACATTTAGACGGAGATGGGTGAGTTTCAGTCACTTCTTTTATTTAAGAAAAAAGTTGTTAGCTTGTTCTGGTTGCATCGTGGGCTTTGCTGCCCCTTGTGGCGAAAATAAGAATTACACACATTTCTTGCTGACCTGTTAACATTGTCAGCATGCTGGAGGAATGTTCCACCGTTTCACCGATCATGAATAGTCCCATTAGCGAGCCTCGTCCAAACACCCATCATCTTCATCTGCACTCAAACTGTTCTTCCTCCTCTTCCTCACCAGAGGCTTCAGTGTGAACACAGCAGGGCGCTCGCATGTCTTCAAGCCTGTGTCGGTGCAGGCCATGTGGTAAGTTTGTTTTGCTGTTGGTTGTGAGGTCAGCCGATTGGCTTTTGGTGTCGACTCAATTCAAGATGGCCGCTGCGCTCTGCTGACTTAAAAAAACACAAAAATGGATTAAATTTTTAAAGATATTGTTTTAAAATATTTTGTGACAATAGCTCAGGTTGAGTGCTATCAAAGTGCTTGTCCTTTTTTCCTTGTTAAATTTTTCTTTCAATAAATTAGATGAAAAGGAGTGAAAATACAACACAGAGACTTTGCTGTATAACATATTATAATGATAAACCTCAAACGGGGTTTGTAAAGTTTAGACACCACCTGCTGGTCAGTTATCAGATTGCAGGGAAGCGTGCCTAAAACATCTATTTTTTTACATTTACCTTTTGCTGATTCTGCAACCTCTTTAACACTAACTGTACTCCCATAGGTCTGCCCTGCAGGTCCTCCATAAGGCCTGCGAGGTCTCACGCCACTTCAACTACTTCCCAGGGGGCATTGCTCTCACATGGATGGCGTTCTATGAGAGCTGCGTCACCTCGGAGCAAAGCTTCATCAATGAGTGGAACGCAATGACTGACCTGGAGACCATCCGCTCTGATTCCCCCAACATGTTTGTGGACCGGTGAGATCCCTGGAAAATCAATCAATAAATAAGCGAGAACTGAAGTGTGATGGCTTCAGTGTTTGAGAATCATTGGGGCAAATCTTTTGTCTTTCTTTATTGGAAACTTGTTTGCATGTGCGTGTAAATACGTCCTTTCTATTTGCAGGCCAACTGAACGAGAACGGACCGAGTGTCTCATTAAAGGCAAACTTCGCCACATCATGATGTTTCAAGACCTGGAGAACATCACCTCCAAGGAGGTCTGTGTCCCACCACCACCTCACCAGTGTGTGTGTGGTTGTGACAGGCCTTCCTACAGGTAGATTCTTTTGCTTGTAATGGTGGAAGAAGCGAGAGACTGTCTCTCGCTTCGTCCACCATTACAAGCAAAAAAAATCTACCTCTAGGAAGGCCTGTCAAAATAAACAATAAATCAATTAATCGTATGATAAATTAAATTGAGGAAGAACAGGCATTTAGCCAGAGGAGCCTCTTCAGTTTTCTGATGCCTTCATACAGCTGGCGACACCTTGGGATTGCCAACAGTTGTTTGTTTTTTTCTTTTTACACAGTATAAATTTTAATGTAAACTTCCGTAAACAGGGGTTGTTTTATCATTATATAAGTTTAAACTGGTCTCCAACAATATTATCATTTATCACAATAAATTCTGAGACAATTTATTGTCCAGTAAACTTTGTTATCGTACCAGGCCTACCTGTAGGCCCACACTTGATCTTGGGATAGGGTGGGCTGAGAAGGATACAGCGGACTTGTTTCTCAAATCGGCGGATGTCGCTGTGATGTAATCACCTCTTGAAGGATGCAGCCCCTGACTTTGGACACTGCCCTGGTCTGGTTTTAGTTAGTCTTGTGTTTGGAAAAAAAGTGCAACTTACCATTTCAATTTAAGGAATGATTAGGAAAAGCTGATAAAGATTGTTGTTGAGCTCTTTGTGAGAAGGAGAATGGTGAATCCTTGTTTTGTGAATTGGTTTATAAAGTATAATTCTTCTTCAGATCCGTAATGAACTGGAGCAGCACATGAGCTGTAACCTGAAAGAGTACAAAGAGTTCATCGACAACGAGATGTTTCTGATCCTTGGTCAGATGGATAAAGCCACACTGATCTTTGATCATGTTTACTTGGTGAGTTGAGTTTTTTTCTGGAATATTTTTGCTTAAATCGGACCAACAAACAAGAAAAACATTTTTAACCTAATCTAAAAAAAAACTGCTGCTCAAAATATGCTTGATTTCAATGTAAAATAAAAAATAAATATATTCTTCACACCACAATATATATTTTAGGTTATGTATTTTTAATGTGATCTGTGTTTGCATGATGTGAACTGTCCACAGTGTCTCCTCCTGTCTTTTGTCTGATTTGAGTTTGAAAAAAAAAATCCATTCAGCTCCCTGCCTCCTTGGTTAGGCTACATCAGGGTTAAAAATAATAAACGGACAGATATTTTTAGCTAATTTTCTGCCTTTATTTCCCCTGCAGGGCTCTGAGTGGAACGCCTCCAACCTTGAAGAACTACGTGACTGCGGGTCAGCCGTTTATTCTGCTCTTTCATTATAGACTGTTCCGATGTTACAGTAATGAAAACATCATGTTTGCATTAAATGGATGCATCTTTTAGATCAGTGGTTCCCAAACTTTTCAGCTTTTGACCCATAAAGTACCAGCAGCAGAGACCCGTGCCCCCAGCCGTTACCGGATATAAACAATGTTTTCACGTCAAATAAACAAGAGCATAGTAACAAATATTTATTAGACTATTTTTATCAATTTTAAGTACATTAATCTTATTATTGTGTAACATCAAAGGCAAAAAAATGTTGGTTGTCATTTTTAGTGTAATTAATTCAAAAAATTATTTCAGGACCCCACCTTGATGTTTCAGGACCCCACTGTGGGTCCCGACCCCAACTTTGGGAACCACTGCTTTAGATCAGATATGATTTATTTTTTGCTCCTTACGAACAACTGTCAAATAAATCTAACCTGAGGTAACAAAAACATGATGATTAAAGCTAAACTAGATCTAATCTAGCGTGTTAGGTTTACCTGGTAAACAAAAAGATTAAAGCTTTCTTTGTGTGTGTTGCAGAGTCGGTTACATTCTGAACGTCACCCGAGAGATCGACAACTTCTTCCCCGGGATCTTTTCTTACCACAACGTCCGCGTGTACGACGAAGACGCCACGGACCTGCTGGCCCACTGGAATGACACCTACAACTTTATCGTCAAAGCCAAGTGAGACCTAAAAACAATAACTGGTGATTAATAACTATTCTGATGGAGCTGTGTTTCAACAATGCTTTGATAATAAAAGCTGGATTATTCACTGACTCTCATCAGGCTGAATCACTAACAGAGATGTGAAATGGTGCAGCCTGGCTATACAACTGTCTAACCTCATTAACTTCAGCAAAAACTAGGTTTTTGTAAAGATCAAGTTGAGGCGAAGTGGTATTTTTTTAATGCTAGAAGCACGGATGTGGCTAACTAAGTTTGATTAAATATAACGTCTTTTCTTCTATCTAATAGGAAGAATAATTCAAAGTGCCTGGTGCACTGTAAGATGGGAGTGAGCCGCTCTGCCTCAACAGTCATCGCCTATGCCATGAAGGAGTACGGCTGGTCCCTGGAGAAGGCGTACAACTACGTTAAGCAGAAGAGGAGCATAGCTCAGCCAAACGCTGGGTTCATGAGACAGCTGGCGGAGTACGAGGGAATCCTGGATGCCAGGTAAGCAGCTCCTCTACACGAGGCAACTAGGGTATAAATTTATTATCTGCAAACAAATATTATTTTCTGCTTGTTCTCATTAAAGGGATCGGGGGGGATTGTGCAAAGATGACATTTTAAGCTTTATAGCTATGGAGCTAAATTGGGGTCATAAGTTTTGTTTAAAATAAAAAGTTTTTGAAACTGAAAAGACAAGATGTTTGAAACTTTTCCATTTTCTAATATATTTTTTTACAGTTCCAAACATTTTTTCCAGTTTCAAAATTGTTTTTCCGTTTCAAAAACTTTTTATTATGAACAAGACTAATGACCCTAATTTAGCTCCATAAATATCAAGTCAAGTCAAGTCAAGTCATCTTTATTTATAGAGCACAGTTAAAACAGATAAACTGCTATCAAGGTGCTTTTACAACAGACAGAACAAGATATAACAGCAATAAATATATCAAAAGGTAGAATAACTGAATTTCAAAGAAAACAACAGAGCAAAATACACTTGGTCAGCTCACCCAGTATTAAACACAAGAGAGAACAGATTATTTCACATAGCTACACTGGTGAGCTTAAGTCAGCTCTAAACTAATAATGATAAAAGAACGCAAAAAGAAATTGAAAGAGCTATATTTAAACCACGAGCACTGCTTCTGTTCTATATGCAAGAATCTGTTAACAGGAGCTGTAACACTGCCCTGCTTACACAGCTTTTGTATGAAATGTTTAACATCTCTCTGGAATAGGGTCGAGAACCGAAAAAAGTATGAGCATTTTTGCCCTCGATGCAAAAAAGTGTTTTCACAGGAGTGTCCACTGACAACAGAAGAAATGTTAGAATATGCGGTGAACCTACTGAAAATGGATTTACGCTTGGATGAAGTTCTCTGCAACACCAGACCTGAAGAACTCTTCTGTGTTGACTGCCCTAGAGGAAAAAAAATGAAACCTTTTATGTGT